TATGTGCGAGCAGCGCAGGACCGATCCTCGTGGAGATCTTTGGGGAGGCCTATGTCCAGTAGTGGACGTCTTCCGGGCTGCGATGATGATGATGATGATGTGTTTATTTGTGGTCAGTATTACCAACCGCCCTTTGCTTCTTCTTCGGAATACGGAACATCTATAGTAGCTTTTATATTACAACATACATTAATGTAAATCAGATTATAACATCGTTGTTTTGGTTGGTTTTAATAAATAAATAAATCATAATAATCTCAGGACAATTCACACAGCGCCATCTAGACCCAAGTTAAGCCAGCTAAAGCTTGTGTTATGGGTACTAGACAACTGATACAAATACATAGATATATATTTCTTCTTTTCATTATTTAATTAGTTATTTCTTCTCGCTTCTTTATCATTACATAGTATAAAACAAAGTCGCTGTCGCTTTCTGTCCGTCCCTATAATAATAATAATCTCAGGATAATTCACACAGCGCCATCTAGACCCAAGTTAAGCTAGCTAAAGCTTGTGTTATGGGTACTAGACAACTGATACATATACATAGATTATTTTTATTTTTGTAAATACATACATATTATACATAGAAAACACCCAGACCGATACAATCAATCATACCCATGAATACAATTGCTTGAGCCGTGCGAGGAATCGAACCCGCAACCATCGGTCGTAAAGTGGTGTACTACACCGCTAGACCACCGAGGTCGTCAAAAATAAAAAAAAAACTGACCATTACACTATCATAATCATACTCTTTATACAAATGTTTATAGCAAGGAATCGAACCCGCGACCAACAGAAGTACAGCGGTGTGCTAAATCACTAGACTACTGAGGCTGTCAACATCAAATAGACGTAAATTTACATACAATATTAGTAGATGTTTAGGTTTAGAAAAATGTATTACCATTTTTTTTATACTGTCAACCAATTGTGCCTTAAGGCTAGAATCAAACCAGATTAATAAATTGAAATATAATGTATTCGTGGAATAAGTTAACCGATTTCATTTCAATTCTATAAAGCGGTTTTGTCTCTGATATTGTATATAAATAACTTCACGACTGTTATCTTTGATGGGGTAGTCAGAGTTATTGTCAACTGTCCATGTGAATGTAACACTTGACATGTTCAGATATTGCTCGGTGTATTTGAAGGCGGTAGGTTGTAGGCTACTTGCGAGTCATGTTCTCCTGGTACTTTCACTGTAGTATCGGTAATAGTGAGATAACTTCACGACTGTTATCTTTGATGGGGTAGTCAGAGTCATTGTCAACTGTCGATGTTGTGAATGTATCATTTGATATGTCCACATTTCGCTCGGGATTTTTGAATAAAAAATCACATTACTCCTATAGACGGCGGTAGGCTGTAGTCTACTAGCGAGTCATGTTCTCCTGGTACTTTCACTGTAGCATCGGTAATAGTAAGATAACTTCACGACTGTTATCTTCGATGGGATAGTCAGAGTCATTGTAGCTTTTGTTGTGATTTCCGCATGCATCCTTATGTAAAGTGCGAATACTGTAACTACTATATAGTAATTTTAAGTAGCTGTGACGTGGTCGAGTGGAATGAGTAGTCATCCTCACTAAAATGTCCAGACTTGTGGCGGCGTGGTGGGCCGGGTCATTGAGCTCCCTAAAATACGGATGAGCCAGCCATCACTGCGCTCGACCATATTTTAGGGACTGGTCTGCTCTAATCACTATGACTGATTTCCTCTTATTAATTGTTTAACCAGTTGGTTATATATTCAATATTTTTTCTATTTGAGTATTTAATTGAATTAGTACTAATTGGTGGTTTGTATTCACACACTTAAACTTAAAAATGTAAAGTAATAATAAAATTATTTAAAAGAGCAACACGCAAGTTTCTTGCTCGTTCTTCTTGTGATGAGACAGCTTTCCGAACGAGCGGTAGATAAAAAAAAATTGTTATGACTGTTCAAAAGTGTTTAAATTAAGTTTATTTGAATAACTGATTTCTGAATTTTTTATTTTATTTTTGATTATTCAATTCTATTGGCAACTGTCCATGTTGTGAACGCAACACTTGACATGTCCACATTTCATTGATTTTGTAAATACATAAATAATATACACAGAAAACAAACAATAATACCTATAAATACAATAGCGAGGAATCGAACCCGCGATCATCTATACATATAAATAAAATTGGAGTGTCTGTTTGTAATATTGAATTAACCGTTTTTTACTACGTGCATATGAATATAAATACGGTACATACACCAAAATAACATTTTTAGGTCTCTGAAATGGCTGGACCGATTTTGCGGGTTTTTATTGGCAGGTAGCTGATGTAATAAGGAGTAACTTAGGCTACTTTTATTTTAGACAAATAAAGTTAAATTCCACGCGGACGAAGTCGCGGCTACAGCTAGTCGGAAATGAAGCAGTGTGCTAAACCGCTAGACAACCGGTACATTGTGATATGTGAAGATTATCTAAATATATATAACTCAAAGGTGACTGACATAATGATCTATCAACGCACAGCCCAAACCACTGGACGGATCGGGCTGAAATTTGGCATGCAGGTAGATGTTATGACGTAGGCATCCGCTAAGAAAGGATTTTGATTAATTCTACCCCCAAGGGGATAAAACAAGGGATGAAAATTTGTATGAAACTGTCAATTTTAAACCGAACGGGCTGAGACTTTGCATGCATAAAGCTACTATGACGTAGGCATCCCCTAAGACAGGATTTTGATAAATTCCACCCCTAAGGGGATAAATTAACGCGAGTGAAACCGCGGGCAAAAGCTAGTTAGGGATAATTCTAGTAGAAATTGGATTAATAATGTTCTCAACTCATTAGCCACAATACAAACAAACAAAAACCTAGTTAAAGCTTACTATACTCTGATTAACTTTATAGTTAAGTTACAATCCTGAAATCCTTTAAGAAGTTTCGGCTGACACCTTTTTAGTACTTTACTCATTAAACCATTTTTTTTACTATAATATAAAGGTGGCATACAAGCATACGGCCTGTCTGATGGTAAACTAGAAAACTTTAACGTATTGGAAAATCTTTTAAAGACGTTTCTTGACGGTCTTGGTGGTCTAGTGGTTTAGCATACCGCCTTATTCAAATTAAAATACAAATTCAAATTCAAATTAAAATACGAATTCAAATTCAAATTCAAATTCAAAATATCTTTATTCATGTAGGTCAATTACAGACTCTTATGATATGTCAAATCTACCGTCAGTTCGGAATGATTCCGAGATGAGAAGAACTGACAAGAAACTCAGACCGACACAAACAATCATACTCATGAATACAAATGTTTGCACCATGCGAGGAATCGAACCCGCGACCGTCGGAAGTAGAGCGATGTGCTAAACCGCTAGACCACCGAGGCCGTCTAAATAAGGATAAATATGATTACTAAAAAAATACCAGTTTAGTTTCTTGGAAGTTCTTATTAACTAAAGTAGCTAACCGAAGTGGACGGTAGGACTAGGAATACCGTAAAGATTTTATATAATTAAATAAATTTCACGTTGTGTTTAACGGTACTAGGAAAATATAAAAAAAAAATTAAAACGGTCACCCATCCATTTTCAGCACCGCACCGAACGTTGCTTGACCTGGATATCGATTTTGCGTCACGCGCAAATATTGGCGGAAAACCACCAAATAACTCCCCTCCCTGCCTACCAACTATGATATTCCGGCACATTTAATTATGATTGTTTTCATTATTTCACGCAAGTCTCGAATATCATGCAGTAAGTACAGAGCAAGTGGGCTTGAACGACGGGCGGTCCGGGACAACAGTGGCATAGAGTCGCTTACATATATTGTTTTTAATAGAACAGAATAGAATAAAAAAATTTTTTATGCAAATTAACTTAAATTTAAGCAGCACTTTTCAATAGTTATACTTTTTTTAATCTACCCCTCATTTGGAAAACTGTCTCATCACAAGAAAAACGAACAAGAATCTGGAAGTTGCTCTCTTAAATAATTGTTGTAACTTTACATTTTTACGTTGGAATGTGTGAATACAAACTACCAACTTGCACTAATTTATTAGAGCAAAATATTAAATACATAATCAATTCATCAGTAAATCAGAATTCTTCACTTGAGTTTACGTAAAAATGTTTACCGGAAAAACTCGTCTGCGTGTGTACTCCCTCACTCTCACCTATTTCAGCCGCCAAGCAGCTTACTATGTAAGATGTCTCGGTTGTATGTTACACATTGGGCAGTAAAATTATATGATAACAAGCATGACGTCATAGTCTTCTGTTATGATATCGCATGGTGGTATCACAAGTATCACATGATAACTTTATATCAGTAGTTCTGTTCATGTATATAGGCGTCGGTTACCACTTACCATCAGATGGTGACGCCTACATATATATATGTATATATTATATAGGCGAAAGTACTTATCCTATTCACCTGATGATAAATCGTCAAGTCGTTTGCCATTCATATAATACAAAAAAAAACATTTTTATACGATTTAAACGATTTTCTACTACATTAATTATTAAAATAATTAGAATTAATTACGTGTTTGTAGACATATAATGTTACTAGCTGTGCCCGCGGTTAAACCCGTGTGAAATTTATAGCCTCTTTATTATTCTGATATATAAACTATATCACTGTTAAGTTTCACCAAAATCCGTTCAGTAGTTTCTGCGCGAAACAGTAACAAACATCCATGCTCACGAACTTTCAGATTTATAATATTAATAAGTCCTTTGTTTGTTTCAGCAGTGGATGTCAGACGATGATTATAATGATGATTATTTTAAATATAATAGAAACAGAGTCAAAATTGCAGACAAATAAATATATATATCCAAACCCACACACCGCCTACACATCCCAATATTTTTATAAACAAGCGCCTCCATTCCTTTCTATGTGCCGCGGTCTTTCTCCCGGCGGCTCCCTATATAACTGTAGTTCATTCCAGCGCGGTGCATTCTCCCGCAGCACCAGGAGGTAAGTGTTTGATCATCTCTCCCGCACTTTACTCGGAAACTTCACTTGTTTTTGAAATGTATTTTTTTACCGACTTCAACTAACGAGTGGTGTTTTGTTTGCACTTTTGTTACAGTCCATTTCTTTATTGGAGTAATATTTTTTTTTTATATATGTACTTTATTTTATAAGCTAATTTCATTTAATTTCGTTGATTAGGTATATTTATAACAATTTTTCTTATTGTGTTAAAAATTAAATTATAAGTTAGATAATCATTACTGTTCAATATAAAAAAAATATCTATCTAAATCTATAACAATATTATAAAAGATATCGGATTTTATTTTTAAATGAAGATTAATAATAAGATTTTAATTAATATTAATAAACTTTTATTCATTTTATATATTTATTAAAACTTTAAATTCAAATTCAAAAATCATTTATTCACGTAGGACATTTTAGCCGCTTATGAACGTCAAGTTTTTACATTATATTTTTTCCCTACCGTCCAGTTCGGTATATAGATCCACAGATACACAAATAAAGTTGCACATAGCGTACTTTAACACCTAGAAGCAAATTTTATTTTATCTATTTTTCATTTAAATATTATATCGCGGAAAACTGCAAGCGTTATAGAAACCTTTGGGCCGGTTACGAGGCGGAACAGATTGTCTTCTCAGTTATATTTTTTGATTGTGTACCTTAATTATTACTTATAAACTTAATTAAATATGATATCTGAAATATCTATATATATAAAAATGAATTGCTGTCCGTTAGTCTCGCTAATACTCGAGAACGGCTGAACCGATTTAGGTAATTTTAGTCTTAAAATATTCGTGGAGGTCCAGGGAAGGTTGGAACGTGATAAAATATTAAGAAATTGCATGTATAATTTTTTTTTTATTTATTAAACTTTAATAAATAAACTTTAATAAAGGTGCACATGGCGGACTTAACACCTAGAGGCATTTTCTCCCAGTCAACCATAGGACAAACAGAGATTCATGTGGGCGGTACATTATGATTAACATAATACTTACATATCGTAATAATATATATATATATATATATATATATACATATAAATACATACCAATACATATACATACAATATATATAATAGTTAAAACATATTTATTTTCCCATACTAACGGCTGATACGTGTCTATAAGAGTGTGTTTAGAAATTTATTGCGTAACTAAAGTTCAAAATACCTTTCATATATTTAGTTTTGAGGCGGAACGAAGTTCGCGGAGTCAGATAGTTAATATTATGAAAAGAAATATATTCATTTCATAAATGAGCAAATTCCTTCACTATTTCATAGTGTTAACACATGTGTTACTGGAGCGGGAGCACAAGTACTATTTTAATAAAAACCAAATATTAGTAAAAATGTGTATTCTTCCCAGGCCGTAACTGCACTGTACGTCTTTTGGTTTCATTTTACCATTATTGAACTGTTCATGCCCAACTAAATCTCGTCATCAATGAATTACAATAAAGATACTGGACACATCTTTTAAGGAATTCTCTTCGTGCCACTGTCTATCGATGTTTATTACTTATTAAGTAAGTTTGAATCTGTCATATTTTAAATACAAAAATAAATAACAGAAACAAATTGAACAGAGATTAAGTGCGTAGCGGTTTCTATGTTGATTATGAAATGTAAGTAATTCAATATTTATTTAAAAGAGCAACACACAAGTTTCTTACTTATTCTTCTTGTGATGAATCTGCATTCCGAATAAGCGGTAGAATAAAAAAACTTGACTATTCAAAAGTGCTTATATTAAGTTTATTTGAATAAAGATTATTTCTATTTCTAAATAAATTTGATGCTCAAACCCGGCATCGAACTAGTTACCTTTATTTTTTTTCCGGAGTGACATTGTAAATATTATGTTAGTACTAGATGTGCCCGCGATCTCGACAGCGTTAATTGTCGATACTTCCATGTAACATTTCAACCCCTTATAACCCCTTTTCGGATTAAAAAGTAGCCAACGTCCTTTCTCAGGTTCTAGACCATATGTGTACCAAATTTTATTTAAATCGGTTCAGTAGTTTTGGCGTGAAAGCGACAGACAGACAAATTGAGTTACTTTCGCTTTTATAATAATAGTAATGATATACAAAACTCACAAAGTTATGTTTTAACTACAATAGTCACATCCAGCGAGCATAAAAAATACCAAATGATTTAAACTTGCAGTAAATCATTACATAGTATAAAACAAAGTCGCTGTCGCTGTCTGTCCGTTCCTATGTATGCTTAAATCTTTAAAACTACGCAACGGATTTTGAAGCGGTTTTTTTAATAGATAGAATGATTCAAGAGGAAGGTTTATATGTGTAATATATGTACACCCGTGCGAGTAGATAGACCGGGGCGAGTAGATTTTTTTTTTAATAATAATAATGTTTTTGTAGAAAATATCTAACTTAAAATCCATGACGCTAACAATGTTATCTGATTGAACAGAGATTAAGTGCGTAGCGTATAATACATGTACAACCGTGCGAATAGCTACATAAAATCTCGTGTCACAATGTTAGTTATCATACTCCTCCGAAGCGGCTTGTGGTATACAGGCCACTTTTAGTCTATGACCTATTTTATAAGCTTCATATTTCGCATACTAAAATTCTTTTCTAAATTGTCACAGCCCTTGCTAGCCCTTGCTATTGTGCCATTCGGTTTCCCTTCCTGGCCCTAGTTAGTAGTGTTTCTTTGTAATATACTCTTATAATAATATATAGGTAATAATAGGTACTGTTGCCGATGGCAACCTTTTTGATAGGTTTTATGTTTTTTATATATATTTGAATTTTATATTTTGACGTTCTGTTTTTATATAGGTACCGTTTGTTTTCTTATGCCATATGGTTTTTATATTTTTGCTAGTGAGCTGATTACATCTATTTTACCTCACCTAGGAACGTGTCTCATTTTTAACCAGCCTTAATACAGCCCTTCCGTAACATATACAATATATATATATATCTTATATATATTATAATTCTCGTGTCACAGTTTTCGTTCCCATACTCCTCCGAAACGGCTTGACCGATTCTCATGAAATTTTGTGAGCGTATTGAGTAGGTTTGAGAATCGGCCAACATCTATTTTTTATCCCCCTAAATGTTAGGGGTAGTCCAACCCAATTTTTTTTTTTCGAGATTTTTTAGTTTCTATTTTATGATACAACATATAAAAAGACATGCAATCCTAAATTTTCATCCTTCTATTATCAATCCCTATTTTTTTATAGCGTTATTAATTTATATGGCAAAACAACGTTTGCCGGGACAGCTGGTATATATATAGCCTACAATTCCCTGGTTTCCTTTATCGCCCACACGGCTTGACTGACTTTTATTAAATTTTATTTGCATATTCAGTAAGTCTGAGAAGTGGCTTGTATGTATGTTTGATAACTCTAAGTAATAAGGATTGTCCACTCCTAATTTTTTATTTGACAATGTTATCATTTTTTTATGTGACATTAAAAAATACATACAACCCCAAAATTTCACCCTTCTATCACCAACCCCTATTTTTTAATGACAATTTTAATGTATATGGCAAAACATTCACGGGGTGAGTCTATATATTTATACATATACATAAAATTGGAGTGTCTGTTTGTAATATTGAAATAACCGTTTTTTACTATATGCATATGAATATAAATACGGTACATACACCAAAATAACATTTTTACAATGTTTGTCTGTGTATCTGTCTGTTTGTTCCGGCGTATCTCTGAAATGGCTGGACCGATTTTGACGGGACTTTTATTGGCAGGTAGCTAATGTCATAAGGAGTAACTTAGGCTACTATGCTACTTATGTATAATATATATTTACGAAAAAAATCAATGTATTTGCATCAGTTGTCAGTACCCATAGCACAAGCTTTAGCAAGCTTAACTTGGTCTAGATGGAGTTGTGTGAATTGTCCTGAGATTTTTTTATATGATTCGGTAATAAAAATATAATCGTATATTTTCCCACTTGTGTGTGTATACTATGTTTAATATGACAAAACAATATATGGCAGGTCAGTTAATTTTCTACTATCGGCTGTCGGTAATTGACAGTTAAAAATGTTTACCATCCAACTTAACCACAATCTGCAGATTCTGCCAAACTGAAGAGAAAACGCCACAATACATCCTATGTAGTTGTAGCCCACTCGTGCGTAAACGAAATATCTCCTTTGGAAAGTTTACACTCTATCCTGAAGAGATAAAAACCATCGCTCCTTTTTTTTTTATATATAACAGGGGACAAACGAGCATGCGGCTCACCTGATGGTAAGTGATTACCGCCGCCCATGAGCACCCGCAACACCAGAGGAATTGCAAGTACGTTGTCGGCCTTTTAAAAAGGAATAAGCTCTTTTCTTGAAGGTTTCAATATCGTATCAGTTCGGAAATACCATTGCTGGAAGGTGATTCCACAATGTGGTTGTGCGAGGCAAAAAGTAAGCTCCTAAGAATATCCTTCAATTCTTGTCCCTGACGGGTCTAGGTAGCGAATGAAAAAGGGCGAGCACAATAGATGTATTTAGGTCGCAACACTTGACAACAACCTCCACATGGTTCCCTTTGGAAACCATAGTGATGAATTCCTGTTGAATTTATCACGTTGGGCTAACTGACCTGACCTCATGCTCATCTTATCATCCCCCACTGGTGCCCCGCCAGCGTAAACCATTGCATTATTACATTATCATCCAATAAAAAAAGACATTACAACAGCAACAAAACACCAGCCAAACAAGTGAATGTCACAATACAAAAACTTCATATTGGTGTCAAAACCTTTAATTACCCTAAATAATAAACCAAATGTTATTATTGCTTCGTTGTTTGAAATTAAATTAAAAAAAAAGTTTAAAAGATAATTTAATACAATTACAAATTAATTTCTCGAACAAACCCGAGACAATTTACATTTAAAAATATAAGTCTTGTACCCGAAGATCATTTATTCGC